AGAATGCCAAAATTAACCAGGTGGAAGACACAATGGCTGTACAGAGTGTCCTATAAATAAAGGTCACATACCATATCTATGGAATCGTTCATTGCACAGCTTGGGGAAAAAGACCAAATCTATGAAAATCGGTTAACCTAAATCCGAGCCTATACCGAAGATACATTAAACTCCTTAAATAGATGCCCCCTCATTAAAATAATGCAAAATTCATACAAGATTGCGAGGCATGTATTTTTTATCCAGGTTTGTTGGGTATATTTTAGGAAAAAATCATTTTTCTACTTACCGGCACCCCTGGAAACTTGAAAATAATTTCCATCGATTTCTCTTGGCCTCTTTTGTTAACAAATTTTTTTCCCCAAGCTGTGCAATTAACGGTTCCATAGATACGGCCTGTGACCTTTATTAATAGGACACCCTGTACTCACTTGATCAGTAAGTGAAAAGAAAATCCACATAAGTCCTCTTTCACCCTCTTGAAAGAAAATTGCAGATACCCCGTTTAAAACAACTCCGATCAGCAACAAATACATGTTCAATCGCTAGTAATTGGATATTGCACTTAGAACCACATGGTTTTTTCAACTTTCACTTAACGTGTCCAATCGAAGGCGTGCTGTAGTACAACACGTAACCGGAAGTAAAAATACTAAAATGCGGTCTAAGTGGTGGCCACTACACAACGCTTAAGATTGGGGAAAAAGATATCTTTCCAATAGGACCAATTATGTGAAAATCGATTAACCTAAACCGAAGTTACATTCAACTCCTTAAAGAGATGATCTCGGAGATGTTCTCCTTCCCCAAACAAAGTAATGCAGTGATCGTAAAAATAACTGTGACAAGACTTTTTTCTTTAATACCCCATAGCTTTCTTATTATTAAAGATAATCTTTTTTAGAGCACATTAAATATTCATCGTGACACAGTTCTTATGATCACGGTAATGGATTTTTTATACGACCACCCTAAACTACACTTTTTCATAAGAGTCACCCTACATATTTTGGAGATTTTGAAAAAAGAGTAAAATTTCCGAAATTTTGACATTTATTCCGTTCGCACCACTGATTTAAAAAAAATTGAGTTCAGGCACCTAGGTTGATTTTTTCTATCTCTTGAAATAAAGGGTGTTTCCATAAGAAAGTGTCCAATTTGGATCACCTTGTACATACATATATTTACAAACAAATTTGAGCTTTGAAGAAATTCCAGCTTTGGATCAATTTTCCTGATCATTTAACCTTCCTGGCCCTCGGCGATTCTCAATACTCCTGATACCGCGTGATTTCTCACCCCACTTTTTTTTTAAATTTTCCGATTCTAAATTTGATTGAGAAAGAAACTGTGAACGGATTATTGTTAGTTGGTAATATTTGATACAGTATAGCTCATTTGGGCGGTTCAATAAAACAAGAATTTAAAAAATCTTTACTAAAGGATTAGGTATACCTACGTTATGTATAGCGATACACTTAATTTCACATTTTATACACACTTGTATTTATACCCCTCAAGAAATTGCACAACGTCTTCCCACATTTTTGTGTCTATGATACTCATTATCTCATTTGATAGTGAATAGTGTCATAAGAACTTTTATAAATAATAGGTCGCCTATTGGATTACTTTCATTCGTTTGTAATAAAAACACATTAGCGTAATTATAATATTAGCACAAATCCGCTAATATGTGAAACCCTAATAATTACTTCCTTCCATAACAAAAACAAATGATCAGGCGGACGTCTGATGTTAGATTTCGTGTATATGCCTTGAATTAAAAAAAAAAGATTTAATTCTCACAAGGTTAACACTACATTATCTGAGATTTCTGCCATTAGTATAAATTTAGGCCTCAAAAGCAAAATCGTTGCCACGCCACTGGGGATTTAAACCATTAAAAATTAATAACTTTAACCTTTCAGATCACTCTCTGAGACATTTATGTCTCTTTTATTACGACGATGCTGTTCTGGCATAACAAATATTATAGCAATGGTTTTATTTGATATGAACAAATTTTTCACAGTGAACATGGGTATCTACTCGCAAGATATTTGGGGTACTACATATAACTATTTTACTTCTTCAAAACACGGTTGACTTCCCTATAACGTACAGTTTCTTCTCTCTAAGTTCGAAACGAATACCTTCGATGAGGCTTTCTAATGTTAAGTAATAAACACAGAAAAGTTATGATTTGGTATGATTCAACCCATTTTATTATTATCGAATGACTTTACCTACGGATATATTAAATTATTTTATACAAAAGTAACAGAATTATGCGTCTTTAATTAATCTCATTGTTTACATTGCAGCGAAGATAATCGTGCAAGTGAAACAGTGGGTCGATAAATTTCAATTATAACTAACTTTACTTTAATTTAACAAATAAAAAGGCACACTACTTTAATCAAAAGCATATTAAATCAGGATTTCAGTTCAGAATTAGTCTATAACCAACCCCATGTAGACTCAATTAATATAATTGATTCAGTTCCGTTTGACCTGTATTATAGAAAAACAACCTTTTGTGTGGTTTTTACGCATGGATCCATTAAATAAACTACTATGTAATATTTGACAAAATGTTGCGGTAACTCCGAATAATCTAATTTAAAATTTGAAACAACTTTGCTTTATTCGCGCTTTTAGCAAAGTTCTGTTTGAAAATGAACCGTCCACGTAGAAGCTAAAATTACAATTGAAGATCGATTTTTACCAGCGCGTAGAGTTATTACCCCTACAAAACGAGTTATATTAAGATTAAGCAATGTTAGCCCCCGTATTGTGTTATAGGAGGAACTAAAAAATTTAACTTAAAACCTTTGTCTGCTATATCGCTCATTGGTGCAGGTGTAAACGACCCAAATTACCAGCACGTGTATATAGTTTTTGCAGACACGTATATACAGAGTGGCCCAACCAGAAGTATACAGAGGGCTTTTAGGGTATTAAATTTAGAAATTTCGAAAAATCCTCGAACACGTCAATTTTGTATTCGAGGGGGACAACTTTTGGAATACAAATCACGAACCCAAGTCTTCACCCCTCTACGTAGGGAGCTTAACCCCTAAAATTTTAAATGGAATCCTATGGCAAATGGCACATTATTTGAAAGCCAATTTAATCGTGATTACTAATCTGTTTTGCTTTTTAAATTCTATTGATTCGTTTCGGAGATATTCGCATTTGAAATGTTTTTTTCTAAAAAAACCAAAACAAATGGGATCTAAGTCATCTTGTATTAAAAAAGGTTTAAATTGTGCAAAAAATAACAAATAACTTTAAACACACAACATTTATTTCAGTAAATGCTCGAATTACTTCCCGCCTGCTTCCATGCAGTAATAAAGATTTGCTTCAAAACGCTGCTGTACATGTTGGAAGATTTCAGGGGTAATCAATCGAAATTGTTGAGTTATACCATAGTGTATTCTATTCTTACACTATGGTTATACGTGCTCGCAACCCTTGTAATGTTCCGGGCCGAGTAGCATAAACTTTATTCTTTAAATATCCCCACAAGAAGTAATCTAAAGGACTTAAATCAGAGGAAAAAACATTTCAAATGCGAATATCTCCGAAACGAATCAACAGAATTTAAAAAGCAAACCAGATTAGTAATCACGAATAAATTGGCTTTCAAATAATGTACCATTTGCCATAGGATTCCATTTAAAATTTTAGGGGTTAAGCTCTCTACGTAGAGGGGTGAAGACTTGGGTGCGTGATTTGTATTCCAGAAGTTGTCCCCTCGAATAAAAAATTGACGTGTTCGAGGATTTTTCGGAATTTCTAAATTTAATACCCTAAAAACCCTCTGTATACTTCTCGTTGGGCCACTCTGTATATACGTTTTAGTTAGAGGAAGGATCCCAACTTTCCGCCTTATATGATTTCTTCGCGAATGATGAGGTGCGCTGTTTCTCTTGCAAATTAATAGAACATGTCACGAGCAAATGTCCTTCAAACAAAAATTTAGTCACTGGGCAATTTACAGCAATCTAGGTTCCTTGCCAGCATATGATCTCTTTCCACCGAAAATCGGGAATCAATTGCATGTATACAGGTAAATGAGAAAAGCGTCCATTAGAATCCTCCGCAGATCTAGGATCTAGTGTTACGGATGAAACAAGAAACTTGAAGAAACCCTCGTTTGAAAAAAGGGAAGAAGAAATCTTTTCCAAACCAAACAGATCTCGAAATAGATGATTGTGCCGCTTTCGAATAATTTCAATTATTTTTTTAAATAAAGTACAGATTTTTGTGAGTTTCTCATGAAGGTTAAGGGGCAAAAGGACGCTATCAGCATAACTAAAGGATATTCAGATAACGCGACGGATATCTTAGATCTCGTCATTCAAGCACGTAGGCGTCGAACAGCATTGAATTTATTTATTTATTATCCCTCTCTTGTTCTGGGCCCTCAACAGGCTTGCGCCCAATTACAGAGTGACCACTAGTCTTAGGGCCGGTTGCACAAAGGCAGTTTAAACCCCGTTTAGATTAACGCAATGGATTAAGACATGATTATTTGAAATTTGGCAAAACGTCAAGCATATCGCAGATGTAAAAGTTAGATATGGGCATGCGCAGGCTGCGCAATGTCAACTTTCTTATTTATGCAGATATTTTTTTTTAAAATTTTAACGAAAGATTCTTCCAGTAAAGGCAAACATATCACATATTTTAAAAATCAGGTGTGCGCATATCCGCAGATTGTTTTTTATTTATAAGAATGTTTGTGCCATAACTTATTTTCCTTTGTACACACAAATAGTCTGTTACATGATCTTTCGGGCAGTAGGATCAATTTTTGGAAAATCATAATTGTTGCTATCACGATTTTGTATTACTGTTGAAGTATTTATGTGTGAGTTCCAATTTAAAATGACACAAATTTCTTATAATTTTTTAATCTGCCTTATTGAATTATGTATTTTTTCGTTTTGGATCGTGTAGATATTAATGTCAACTTTTATTTGCAGAGCCCAGATTACGATGACAATAAGGAAACGACAACAAAGAATTCAGGATTACATTCCAAGGGGGTTGCAACATCCTTCGGTTTTCGGCGTCGACCAGTTACTGCACCGGCAATATCCGACAACGCCACAGCAGCCAGAAGACTTGCCAAACAAGAATTGATAGATAGAAATGGGAACGGCGATACGGCATCACTCGCCAACAATGCGATACCACCCGGACGAACCACTCCTCGATTGGCACCACCACGTAAGGAAGCCAACGCAACAAGAGTCAGTCGCTTCGGTTTTAGAAAACCCAACGCAAATAGATTAAATCGAGTTGCCGATCTTAACGTTGATAATATCGATGTTTCTTTCGGGCCACAGAGTAATAACAATAGACTTAATTACAAAACTTCAATGGCGGTGATCCAAACGCGTACCAAAGCGACCGTCGATTCGAACGATAATAAAACAAGAGCAACGTACGCACAACCGCAACTAGGGAGGTATACGTTACAGTCAAGTCAGCTACCGAGGCCGCAGATGCCAGTACGTGTGGTAGATAGTAAAAGTGCAAAACAATTAGCTAATAATAATAGAAGGGCTTTTCGCGCAATGCAACCGAGCGAAGACTCTTCCAAGGAAGGTTCTATGACTGAAGATTCGGGTGTTGGAAGTCACTCAAGTGCGGGAACATGCGAAACCGATACCTTGCAGGGTGTTGAATTACTAGATATCTCGCCAACTGGTGCAGTAGACCGAAAAAGCTTTCCTCACAAAGCTAAACATTATGAAATGGTTGTATCCGGAAAGAATTTCGATCTTCGGGATTTAGATGACACTGTGGAACCAAGCGTGCCTCTTCCACAGTTGCCCAGCGCTTTTCAAAGTAATTACAATACCGGCTTCGTACGCGAAAGGCGATTAGAATATGAAAAGCACATAGAAAAATGTAGGCGAAAAATTTCGATTACCTCTTCGGAAGGATTTAGTGATGATTATGTAGATGGCGAAGTAATTGTACAAAGGAATGAATGTAATAACGCTAATAGTCTACCTCCAAAAAACTTCCTTAAACCTAAGTCGAAATTATTAGATAATTCCAGCAACTTGAGTTCGGATGAACAAGAATGGGGCCTTGGGGGCGAAGCAATGGCAGATGACGTCAGTTACAGTTTCAGCTCGAGCGATGAAAGTAAAGATAGGGAATCTATGAATAGTAGCAGATACAGGCAATCCGCACCGTTAGCATTACAAAATCTGATGAACGCTTCCACTTTACACCCTCGTAATGCCGAAATCAAAAATGTTCTCCTTACAATAGAAGATCCAAAATTCGCGGCCGTGGCGGCTGCCAGTAATAACGGCGCACTGTTGGAAGACGAAACTTCCCCGGTCGATAGTTTGATCTGTAGTTACTCAGAATCCGAAGAGATAAAGAGAAAATATATGAATAATGACATCAAAAAGAATTCCCCAAACGGTTCCTCTTCGAATTCTAAAGATATTAACGAAAAATTGACAAGTCCATCTAGTCCAGGAACACCCACCAACGCGTCCAATTCCTTGTCTCTTTCCGACGGAAAAGATTATTTCGACGACGAAATTGCCGATCAACCTGCGCTAGTCTTTGATGATACAATTCCCGCAAACGAACCTATCAGTACTTCTCAGCAGAACTCCGAAAACACCCCAACTTTAATGGACAGTACACCTAAGCTTAGAAGGAAACAGACGAATGCTTTCGAATACAGCCCCCTACTAATGAGAAAGAGAACGCTTTTGCACAGCCGAACGGATTCTGTGGATACATTGTCACCTTGTGAGAGTATTACTTCCGATGATCTTATGTTAGATTACGAACAAAGTCAAGGTAGTGGCGTGGATGAAATTTTTGAGAGGTGAGTTGTTGAGTGTAGATTGATGTATTAATGTTTATGTTTTAGAAGCAATCGTCGAAGCAGCGAGTTTCATTCTTTTAACGAGACGCTTAGGGCCGATGAAACACAGGTTGGGGAGCAATTACGGGAGTGGGCTAAGAATGTTGCGCCCAATTTTGGCAAAGACGCAAAAAGGTAAGCACTCAAATTATAAATCTTTTTAGATGGCATGGATAGGTAGATTTTATCATATAAAAAGGAGTTCTTACACCAGAAGAGGGATTTTGAGGATCTTCACGAAAATTATATTGTGTTTACTTGAAAAATTCATTTAGGAATATTAAGTTATTTTGTTATAACACATGGAAAGATGCATTTGTTAGAGGAAAACTACTAAAACTAGAGAAAAGTATTCAAAATCTTGCAGGAGACCAGCAACATTGAGATGTATAGAAAGTTGCGTATTGTAAGCAGCCTGTCTAGCCTAGGTCTGCGCGTTGCCTACCTACCTTCCAGCCAATATAGATCTATGCGAATGATTCTGCGTTACTGGCTGGCATAATAAAAGAATAGGAACTAGTAACGTAATTTAGAATGCATTGAAATTGAATTATGAATGCAAGACTTTTTAACTTTATTACCTATAGTTATAAGCGTGCAACAAGATGTATATACAACGGTGCAACCAAACTGCACTTGTAAATCACACGTAACCGCTGCCGTTAAGGCCAAAATATCAAAATGATTAAAATAACGATTATTTTGTCAAAAAGCGATGCTTTCTTGTAGTACAATCCGCTTATGACTGGAAGGTAGACACCGCATACATATAGGGCGACTGAGTTGCTCAACTCTAAAAGCATTTAGTAAAAAATTTTAATGCTGAAGGTCCGATTGCCGGGAAGTATGTTCCGTTAGTTAAAGGAAAATTTAAAAAAATGCTTATTTCCGCCCATTTTTAGTTCGAGAATTACCTACTCTTTTAAGATAACACCCGCCAATTTCCTTAACTCCTAACGCTGTAACATCGTTGGAAAGGTCTTCTAAGAATTTGGGACCTTATTCTTTAGCTGCAATCTTTTAGTTTCCCAAATGTTTTGAATTGAAAGGTGTTCGCATGATTATTTACTCTAAAAACAAACTACGTTAAAAATAATTTTTCTCTAATTTCGTTGGCCGTTAGATGAACATTATTCTACACGGAACGACGTTTTAAAACATTTATATGATATAATGATCGCTTAAAAATCATTTCACTGATATACAGTGATAGTTATTAAGAAGTAGGCATAGGGATTCACGTGTATTGTTTTTCCCTATGTCTACTTTTAAAAGAAAAAAATCTCTTCTGAAGGGCGCCTAATTTTATTGTTTCAACACAAGGTATATGGCCTGTCTGCATACATCATAGAAAAAAATCTCTTATGCTCTTTAAACTATTACCGCCACTATACCAATTGACAATATCAACTTTGTCTTCAGTTGAATATATCGCACACGATAGAAAATAGAAATATACGGAAGCCAAAGCAGCAGTATTCAAATTAATGAATATAACAGCCAGATCTTGATTGGTTTTAAGAAGTTATGCTTGCGTTAAAGGAAAAGATGATACCCGTAAATCCCTATGCCTATTGCTTAATAAATATCACTGTAGATAACGAGCTTTGAATGCGTTTGCAATGAGGAATTCTTTGCAAACGATCTTATCACCGTTTTCGATTTTTCAAAAATGAACTTTGGAATCGTTATTTTTTGAAAAAAATTGTTCGTAGAAATCGGAAATTTTTGGGCCATTGTAAAACAAAAATAACCAACACGTGAATGATAAAATAAACTTACCAGGCCTTTGAGTATTTCTATATTTATTCAAAGAAAAGATTTTTACCTTTTGCAGAGGATAAGTGTTAAGTAAGAGAAAATTTGCATTAACATGCGTAATTTCAAAACCGCTAGGGGATAAATCGAGGGTTAAATTTTTACAGTCATGTATAAGGGCTCTATTAATATAACTATTAATCAATGCAATAAAGATGTCGATGCGTTAAAAAATACGTAGGTAATTTAAAAACAGTTACCTAGGGTTGAATTTTTATATTCATGTATAATACAGAGATTTTGATGCGACACAAAAGAGGGTCGCTGCTTGAAAAGAAAGAATTATTTACATTAAAAAATATGAAATTTCAAAACAATTAGGGGTTACATTCAAGTATACGTTAGTATACTGATAAAAGATATAACGATTTTGATGCGCCATAAAAAGCAATAACCCTTGCAAAGACAATTTGTATTTAAAAAAATACGTAATTACTAAATAACAAAGGCCTTAATTTTGATAGTACTATGTAAATAGGGTTTCTGGCCCATCCCATTCGCATTATTAATCAACGAAATAAAGATTTTGATGGGTCACAAAAGAGACACCACTTGCAGATAGATAATTTGCATTAAAAACTACGTAATTTCAAAACAGCTAGGGGTTGAGTCTTTATATTCGTTTCTATAGTGTTATTAGTGGACTACACTGCTACAATTAATCAAATAAATAAATAAATAAACTTTTGTAGCTAGTAAACTCTCTCGAGCTAAATTTTTAAGTCGTTTTTCCTACCTAGATAACTTATCTATAAATGAAGTTGGAACAATTTCCAAAATTGCTATAAGTTCGTAAAGCTAGGCAATAACGCCAGGAAAATTTGTTTCCTTCTTTCTTTTTCAAAATATGGAACCCTAACAGCCCTCTCCGTTACCCCTAAAAAAATATTATTTGAAAACATTTTAAGAAATCCCGGCGTTATAGCCTTCACCTTTCCCAGGAATATTTGACCCCTTCTTCATCTTCACTCAGAATTCAGATATCGTGGAACGAAATCAAGCGTTTTCGGGCAACGAAACGTGTGTACTGCTTCTGCAACTTCAACGGTGGCGGAGTGGTTAATGAAAATTCTGCACTTATCCTCTGTGAGGGATTTCTCTTTTTACTCACAAAATGTTTTATTTCAATTTAATTAAGTGAATATAAATTTCGTTCTTTCTGTTCGTATTTTTTATTTAAAATTTTATTTTTTAATTCTTTAGGTCCTTTCTTCAAGAGTTATCGTACCGACCGACGGGCAGACAGATTCTAATAGGTCCTTTTAGTTAATTTGTATGAATATTAAACAAAAATTTTAAAAATAAAAGGGGGTACTGTAATAGGAGTCCGTTCAAGTGTTTTTTAGACAGGGACACAGGGTGAACGGACGTCTTATTGTTGTCGTCAATTGGTTGCATATTTTACGTGGGAAATGTATGTGTGGCAATTATTGGCGTAATAAAGAAGAGAAAAACAGTCGGCTAGTCTGTATTCAACCGTTTTACCATAATAACTATTTAACTGGGCAGGATTTACTTCCGTGTTGACGTCTACAATCATTCTTTTGTGCAAAAAAATTTTTGTTATATCGTGTCACCTTTACAGCGTTTAAGAATAAGAGGCGAACAGCGGATAACGCGAATGTGACTGAATTAAAAGCACTTATGGACTGCAGACGCCACAGATATTCATATTCATATTTTTATTCAAAAACTAAAATTAATCTTATTTTTTATATGATTTAAAAGTAGAATCCGAATTTTAGTACTAGCGGACATTTCAGTCGTGTTTTTGTAACATACCCGTTACAGTTGACGCCCAACATGGGGTCAAATTAACGAGAACAGCCCTGAGCTTAGATTTTTTTATATTTACCTTCGTATTTCGAAATAAAATAAGATTAATTAAAAAGGAGAATTACGAAAAAGATGAACTAGTTTAATCTTGTTTTACTAAGAAATAAAAAGTACACTTGCAGCAAATATTTAATTTGTGACACTTGTTTACTTTCTGGCATTTTTTTTTGTTTTGTAGCCTACTCCGGTGTATAAACATGTAATTCCCACTTTTGTCAAAAATATTGAATAACCTAAAAACTACGGGGTTAAGCACAGGTCACCTCTTATAAAAAATGAGAGAATACGAAACACTATCGAATAGCGAAATAAAGTAGCGATAGTTCCATTAAAAAAAATAGTTATGGCATTGTCGATGTTTCCATTTTAATTAGTGGATATTATTGAATAAGAATACTATGTATCACCAACTGTCTTTTTTATTTTTGTCGTTATCGATTTCGGACTTGTATGTCCATCTTCGGGCGATGCGTCATTATTTTATATTAATGGCGCATCTTCCGATGATGGACATAATAGTCCGAAATCGATAACGACAAAATAAAAAAAAGACAATTAGTGATACGTAGTATTTTTATTCAATAGTTCTGGCACTTTGACATTGGCAAATTTTATCATTTCACTAAATCCAACTTTGTCATTATCAAGGTGTTGCTTTTTATTCAGATTAAAATTATTGATCAAATGTATTTTTTAACTTCAAAATCAAGGTAGCTATCTACTTATTCATCAAAGTGAGGCTTGCCTATAGGGAATTATTCGGAAAAAAAGCAATAAGATGACATTGACAAAAAAACAAAAAGTGAATAGGTTTTCACGTAGAGGTTAATAAATGACATCGAAACAACTAAAAATATATAGGGTGTCTCTGTACTTTCAAAAATAATTTCTGTATATGCGCAACTATCCATAGTGACATTTGCACAAAAGGTTTTTTAATATTTTTTACCAGGTATGAGTTACGAAAGAAATACGCACTGTTGCAGGACCCTGTATATGGTAGACATTTCTTTGAAATTGGAACCATAGATGCTTTTAGTAAAAAAAAAACATAACACCATTATTTAGGGAGTTAATGTTTGATGATAATGGTAAGGGTGAAGTGGGTGAGGGTGCATGTTGTACAATACTGGTTGAGCCATTTTTTTAAAAATGCACAGGGGGTACAAAATTATTGCATCATTATTTGCAAAATTATAAACATATATGGAAATGTTGAGAAATCGCTTAGAAATCGCATCACACAGGGAGCGCATCTGCTCTTAAAATTGACCGGGGTTCTTAGGGGCGGCGGTGTGGAATGCCGGCGGTGCAGTGGGATGAAAAATTAACCGTACTGAGAAAATGCTCGAAAATCGGTACAGGATGCCTCGAGGTTGTGGTATGGGGTAAACGAAGGTAACTTTCGAGTTTTTTTATATACAAAACCCCCGAGTAACGATTTCCGAGCAGTTTTCCGGCACGGTTAATTTTTCACTCTA